TGGCACCATTAATCCAGTCACCAGATCTGAAACATGGGACACGTCCTGGACTCCTTCCACTCCTTTCAGCCCCTCCATGCAGTTAGCCTAACTCTTAAATACTCTCAAATCATCCCCATTGTTGCTTCCTCAGTTCTCTGCCATAACTTGTCTCATTTGCACTTGTAGTAGCTATCGATGGCTAAGTATAGAATAATAAGTATTTATAATAAACATGCTAATAAATATTTAGCAAATAAGTGCCTATCTCCACCCTTCCCCCACCTCTCTCTACCAAGATAAACAAATCAGCCCTTCCTACCACTGCTGTTGGAATGACCTTTATAAAAGGCAAATCTGACCCTTGTTGAAATCCACCGGTGATTCCTGTAGCCCACAGAATCAAGTCCTAACCTCTTAACCCAGCACACAAAGCTCTTTATTATCTGGCCCCAGCCAACCTGTTCAGTTCAGGCTTATCTGTTATCATCCTGCGCACACACACAGACACCCTGACCTCCCACATGAACTGCATGTGCTGCTTGCTCTGGATTGCTTGAGCGGCGCTTGGTTGGCTTCTGCACGTGTCAGTCACTCTGCATGTGGTGTCCTGCCTCTCATGGTCTGCCTGCTGGCTGGCCAGACTTGGCTCGTGTTTCACCTACTCTGGGACGCGTCCCTTGACCACCTTCGTGACCCTTTTCCCAGCAGTGAGGCCTCCGGATTGCTCCCAGACCACCTCTGTGCCACACTTCACACTGCGCCACAGGGCTTGCTTGTCTTTCCCCACTGACTTTTGGGCATTTTACCATTTTCATCTTCTTAGCCTGGCCATAGCCCAGCACTTAATCATTGTGTCCACTTATGATTACATTTGTTGTCACATTTCTTTATTGGTTTTGAACAATTTGTAAATAGAGAAATTGCCTAAAATGGTTACATTCTCCTGAGCTCCCAAATACATAATCTCAAGAACTGTTTATCCAACAAAGAGATTGTGTCCTAATTTCTGTTTTATTCAGCAGCTATTTATTTAATAGTTTTGGTTTCCATTACATTACATTCTATCATTTATATTGCAGGCCCTTTGTACTTTTTAGTATCTGACATACACATTCTAGAACAAATGATGGTATGGGTGTTGGTACTCTGTGTTGATAATATATGTTGGAAATGTTGGTATGTCAAGATATTTGTTGAGTGGAAAGAAAGTCATTGTTAGTAAGCATCTAAATTGTGAGAATGGGTGTTCTCTTCAGAATTTTTAATTTTGCAAAATTCTTAGATTGGTATGTGTGCTGGTGTGTTTGGTGAAGCATGTTGACACAGAATTGTTAATATTTCTGTAGTCCACTCTCCTTCTTCCCATTAAAGCAAAAATCAGCCACTGGCTCACAATGGTTTTTTTTCTAATTTGTTGTGATCAAGTTTTATTTTGGGTGAGTCCAGATGGATTGATTCAGCCACATGATAAATTTAACTAAATCTAAAGCATACTGCGCAGTGGCTGCCTCCTATTCTCACTCTTCTCTGGCCATCCCTCAGTCAGGCTGTCTTTAAGTCAGACAGGGTTCCCTTCTGCCAGGATGACTGCACCCTGCTTTTAGGAAGCCTTGTCTCTCCTCTCTCCAACCCCATCTTTAGCACTGTCTCTGTTGCTCAGTTAATACACACCCTGTATTGACCACTTTGACCTTTTACCTCCATCTGCTCAACAGTCTAAATTCCAGCCTTTATTTAAGGCTCTGAGACCCTAGACTTGCCTCCTTAGCTCATGGCCTGACATCTCGCACTGTGCCTTGTAGTATGCTGTTCACATTTTCTCATCTCTTACGTATCCCTGTTGAGAAGATTTCCTTTTCCAACGCTGGCCCTGTTATTCCCTGTCCCTACCCTTCAAGCGAAACGCTTGAAGAACTTTTTTTCTTCCATATAACCTTCACTTTCTGGTAATTATTTCCTGTTGAAGTGTTAGGTTACTTAATCATGTCTGACTGTGATCCTGTCGACTGTAGCCTACCGGGCTCCTCTGTCCTTGGGATTCTTCAGGCAAGAATACTGGAGTGGATTGTCATTCCTGTCTCCAGGGGATCTTCCCAACCTAGGGATCGAACCCAGGTTTCCTGCATTGTAGGCAGATTCTTTACTGTCTAAACTACCGAGGAATCCCTGTTTCCTATTAAACTGTTGCTAAAATTCTTTCTCTTACAGAAAGCTATCTTGGATTGATACTGTAAAGCATGTTATTTTCTTTACCTTTATCCATTCCTGGAGCAGTAGCCACCACCTCTCCCATAATGCTGCACACCTTTTCTTTGTCTTCTCATTCCCAGAATGTACTTTGTGTTAGATAGGCAGATGTACTGCTTCTTTGGTTTTAGATTTTGTTAGTTTTTTCTGTCTTGAAACCAGGGACTACATCTGTTTGATTCTTTGTGTATTGCCTAAAACAGCCCACCATCACCATTTCCATACACACGACTCATAACTGGTTTCTGATAATACAAAACAATGGTTTGATAAGAGTGGTGAATGTTGAACATTTGGCTTTCGTGTTGGATGATTTTATACTGATGCAGATTGAAGAGAATAAAAACTTTTGGCTTTGGATTTTTTAAGCATTCCCTGTTTAAGGGAGAGCAGGTGGTAAAATTAATCTTATAAAAAGATAATTTAATGTTTTTCAAATTTGTTATTTTGTCCCTGTCAACTCTAGAAAAGCATATTGAAAATCAAGTAGAGCTAAAATAGTATTTTGATACATCAATCCACAGAACAGTTGATTGTAGTAAATTAGGATTTGTCATAGAAATTTCATAATGCCCAAAAGACTGAAGTGCTCAGAGAATGTAGCAAAAGCTGCAGTTTTAGATGTCTTTCTCATGCAAATCATTATGAAGTCTAAATAATATAGGCATAAACAGAAATTGCTACAGAGATGTCCAGAATAAAATCTGGACAGCAAAAAGCATTGGCTGTTTATAGTATAATGTATGTTAACATATTAACTGCAATACTAAGAACTCCATAAAGAAAATACTGAGGATTTGTTGACTCATAATTGGGAACAGTTACTGGGAAATAAACTTAAAGCAGGAAAATCTGTTTAGAAACTGGAGGTGATCTTAAGAGGAAGAAAGAGGTTAATATCTCTCCACTTGATAACATCAGAGTCTCCTAAAATTAAGGGAAAATTGTTTAAAGTAACTTGATGTGAAGTTTAATTTCAGTATAGGAGTTCCAGTTTTCAGTATTTTTCTTTTTTGTAGAATTTCCCAGAAACATTTTTTTTTTAAATTCTGGATTATGTATTCCTATTTACCATAAGTAATTTTAAACAAAGTAGTGTTCAAATGTGATATAAACTGCATTTTATTGTCTTCGCATTTCACACTGAAAATTATATGTTCCTTTTAAGACTACATCCTGCTAGTTAGGATGAAATTAGGCATTCTAATCCTCACTTGAAATTAAGCAAGAAATTAGGGCTTGGGGAAGCTCTTTAGGAATTTTTAAAGGAACATAACTGCTTTTTACAAGTTATGTGCTCCATGGCCACATCAGTTGGTATATGACTTTGAGTTTTTTGGTTTTGGTTTGTTTTTTTCCCAAAGAGAAGCTAATTCACAAATTATGAACATTGGGGTGGAGGGTAGAAAATATTTTCTCTCCCTCACATTTGCCAGCAGTGTTTAGTGAGAGATGTTAATAGGTATTCATGGTAAAAGGGAGAGTATTGTCATAGGTTTGGAAGAGTACTTTCTAGCCCTCACCATGGTATTGATACTTCAGTCTCTACCTTCACATATTTAAGGGACAGAGGAGTAGCTGCAATAAGTAAATTGTTTAACTCTGTGTAGACAACTTTTTCAGACTTGACCACAGAATGTTTTTTTGCGCAGAGTACCTATTTAACAGTCCTTGAAACAAGTGTTCCAAGAGCAGAGTCTGGAGTTTCACAGTAACCAACAAAACCCATAGGTCAAAATTCATACCCTTTTCAAAATCCTAATTACAAGAAAGCATGTCAATTATTGGGAATATCTGTCCAAACACCTGGATTTCATATGAGCCAGTTTTGAGTGCCACTGGGTCTGGAGTATCTGGATGTGTGTTAAAGACATTCGTTTAGAAATCTGTGGTGGAAAGAATAAAATAATGCATTTAAAAACTTAGTCACTCTGCTTATAGCTGTGATGTTACATTTTCTTAGGGAAATTTTGAAATATATACAAAAAGAAAAATGAGCATTTTGCCATTAATGGTTCAGATGAGTCAAACGCTAGATGAAGTCCCATTAAAAAAGAAACACAAATTTTTTGTACCACCCTTTATAAATTTAAGTGATTCTGATTTATATAGTGGGAACTCCCCCTCCCCAATAAAGTATGGATGCAGCAGCAGCAGACCATATATCAAAATGAAAAAACTATTCTCATGCTGAACGTTATGATAATCCAGACTATTTTTTCTCATCATATTTTGTCAACCTTTTTTATTTTCCACCCACAGGATAAAAGATGATATTGATGTTAGGTAGATTAGCAGTACTTGTCTCATCTGAGGTCATTTAATTTTTCCTATCTTTCATCAAGCAATATTGTATATTCCTGTTGTGATGCCTCTGAAAAAAAGACAGGCTTCAAGAGAAGTTTCTTTTCTCTCTCTGCTTTCCGTGTCAGCTTCATCCTAGAGCTGACCCCCTAATTGGTTGAGACCAGGTTTGGCTCATCCTTCTGTGGTGGGAAGAGCCAGGACTATGTTGATTGGTTCAGGCCAGTGATGCTGTAGGATAGAATCAATCTCTGCTCCATGGCTTGGACATTTTGGTCTTGTTAAGACAAGACATAAAGGAAATGGGGAAACCACTCACAATGGTATATTTTTACTACAAACAAAACAAGCTTTGAAAATTCTACAGTATACTATACTAGATATTTGTAATGTCATATGCTATGTTTCGGTATTTGTTTTGCAAATATACTGATATTAACAGTTCATTTTTTCTTGGGTCTTTTTAGAGGACAAGAATTTTGGGCAGATTTGAATGCCATGAATGTGTATGAAACAGCTGAATTTGACCAACTACGAAGGCTGTCCACACCACCCTCTAGCAATGTCAACTCTCTTTACCACACAGTCTGGAAATTCTTCTGTAGGGACCACTTTGGATGGAGGGAGTATCCTGAGGTATTTACAGAGTATTTTTCCAAAAAGTGCATTTAAATTTTTTTGTCTTTCACTGTTCCTTTCTGATGATGACTAGATGGAACCACAAACCAAAGAGCTTTTGGATATTGTCTTGTTGACAATGAATAATACTTTTCTCTCTTGATTTTTCTGGAAATGTATTTTTTTCCCATTAATTTCCTGGAGCCCGTAAATGGAATACCATTGTTATCAGAGAGAAAATGCTTTTCCCAGTATCTTATTACAATAGGGACCAAGTATTTACTGTGATAAGTACTCAGACTCAGTGCCAACTTTGGAGTAATTTTAATGAGATGAGCACTAGTGTAACTTTTGACTATATCTGGCTCCTGGTGATTGGATCATGTGTTATACTATTAGCATTTTAGAAGACTGAGGAAAACAATTGCCCTTATGCCCCTGGAAAAAGTACTTGAAAATGTTTATTGAACTGTGGTCAAGCAAATCAGTCATTTAAAATTCTATCACAAGTGCACAGGTATCCTTAGTCTGAGATGGTAAGAATAGTTCATCAATTACGCAGTGAGGTTTTAAGATGATGGTAGTTTACTTTGCCTCTGAATGAGAATTCTGAGTCACAATTAATTGCCCCCAAATGGATTTAAAGATTAATTTCACATTCCACAGATCTGACTTCTTTAATTGATTAAATTCATTTCCAGCATTAAAAAAAGGGAGAACTGACTTATCTACCTTAGATAATAGCAAAAGAAAACAACCTAATATGTTAATTAGTATAAAACACAATATTGAGTTAAAATTTCTTATTCTTAAGTAGTCACTAGTATCTGGTATCTTCTGAAGAGAATAAGAGGCTGTTTAAAGTATATTTGGATAGTCCAGTGTAGTTGGACTGTCCCTGTGTTTTTCCTCTTGAGATTCACTGTACTTTTTGGTGCTCTTCTGATGCTAACAGCAAAGTTAACTCTTTTTACCTTTTGTTACATTAACATTTTTCCTATCTTACAGTGACTGTTTATTGCTTTTTTAACTCGCTGGTTTTTCTTTACCTTCTGTTTTCTCCTCCATAGTCTGTTATTCGATTGATTGAAGAAGCCAACTCTCGAGGTTTGAAAGAAGTCCGATTTATGATGTGGAACAACCACTACATTCTCCACAACTCATTCTTCAGAAGAGAAATAAAAAGGAGACCCCTTTTCCGTTCCTGTTTTATACTGCTTCCATATTTACAGTAAGTGTCCAACAGAAATTCTCACCCTCCATTTTATGTAAATGTACAACTTTTAAATACCAAAAAGACTTTTAAAGACTAACTTGATTGTCTAAAATGTAAAATTGAGTTATTCTTTAGGTTTAATTCTTCCAAAAATAGAGTTCAGATGAGCTGTAATTAACCCAGCACTAAAAGAGTGAGCATCCTCTTGCATTTTTTTGGACTTGAAAGCAAAGTAAACATTTTTCCACAACTAAAAGTAGTTCTATCTAGATTAAGTCAGTGTTTGCATTTGCCTCTTTCATGGAAGATTGAGATACCCTTCCAAGTTATGGGACTGTTTTCTAGCCCATAAACTGCCTTAGCAAGTAGAGATTGTCCCTCAAGGTAGTGTTCTCCATTCATCTCCCTTCAGTGAACTTGCATGGAGCGAATTCACCTTTTCAAGCAATTTGCATTCTCATTTGCTCAGTTAGGCCTATTTTCCTGTAACATTCATTAAAAGTACCTGTCATACTTTTAGGTTTGAGACTGAGCTCAAACTTCTGAATTAAAGGGGAGCTCTCCTTCCAGTTCCCCCAGTGCCGTTTTTTTTTTCCCTCTGGAGAGCCTACTGGCACATCTCCATTGATGGCTAAAGCTGGGGCACATTGCCATTAGCAAGGCCATCTCCGAAAGGTAGTGTCTCTAGGGAAATCATTATCTACTCTAGTCAGATAGATCATGTTTAGAGCTTGATTTTTAAAATACAACTAGGTTTACTTGGTTTTATGAACTGGGGAGATCTAGGGTAATAGTGGTTGGCATCTTATATTCTTACTAGTAGTTTATTTCAAGTCCAAAGTGTGTTTTTTGCATATCATTATGGTAGTCTTAATGATTCTAATTCTGAGATTGCGATGGGAACATTAAAAACAAAATATAAACAAAAATCCTTGAAATGCTCAGTACCTAAAAGCAGTTTGTTAGTAAGGCAGATTTAAGAAATATATGTTTCTAAACTTGAGGTAAACATGTGCTTTCTTCTTAGTTTAGGTGTGAAAATTTTACCCTGTGATTTTTTTTTTTTATATTAGAAACCAATAAAAACGCCGTTCTGTAACTGCGCCAGCACAGCTGAGACAGTGCCAGCATCCAGCAGCTAGGAACATACTGTGAGACAGTGGGGCTCATCAGGGAGACCCGCAGCCTGGCATGCTGGGCCAGTCAAGCACGATGCGGCTCCTGTGTGAGAGGAAGAAATGCTCGTTCAGTGGGGAGAGCTTTGTGGGGAGAGCTTTACGGAAGAGTGAAAACTGATTTGTTTTAATCCTAAGACTAGCAATTATGGAATACCCTTCCCTTCACCTTTTTTTAAACTTAGGTTTGTTTTGTAGAAGTATGAACTGTAAAACTGGTATGAGCAGTAGTAGAGTTAATACCACAAATATGGCCTTCCTACAAAAAAAGTCACTCTCTTCCTTTTCAGACTTTCCTATTTTAGTCTTCTTATCTGGAACAGTAATCATCAGGTAAAAAGTAGAGCTTAGCAAATCAAAGAGATCATGCAGACATTTCAACAGGAAAAGAGTAGAGTAGCAGCAAGTTCACCAGGGTGTGATGGTGCATGCAGCCATTGAGTTCCTGTCTGCTCTCGAGTCCAGGGCTGGCCTAGAGGGGAGAGAAAGGAGAAGGACCAATTCCAAAAGTCAGATTTCAGAAGTAGATTTCTAGAGAGACCATGATCTTAGTCAGGAAGAAAGTTTTGTTTTTGTTTTTTTTTGAAAGTTTTGTTTTGAAGTGTTAGTAAGTGCAAAGGGTCCAAGAAAATCATAGGTGTCAAAAAGGCTGTAACTATCAGCGTATCAGAGATACCTAAGAATTGGGAATGCTAGAGTAGGGAGGTGGGGGTGCAAGCTTAACTCATGAATTTCCTGCAAAGTTGGCTCTTTTTAAAGGGTTTCCCTGCCTTTTCCCCCTTCCAGTTTTATTAACATAATTTACATAAAACACTGTATAAGTTGAAAGTGCACAGCATAATGACTTTATATATATTGCAGAATTATTACCACAATCAAGTTTAGCTGATGTTTCTCAGTTAAATTTTTTTCTATGTGCTTGCTGGTTTTTAATAGGGCTAACAAAAATCTTATTCTTGAATATTCTTGGAATACTTGAGCTAAACACACAAATAGCAGCTTTCAAAGTTTGGAAGTCCATTTCAACTGACAGGACATCTGTCCTGTGCAGTCACCTCATGGTCTTGATAAGGCCTGAGACCCACAAAGTAGCGATCCTCAGCCTTTCTGGCATCAGGGACGGGTTCCATGGAAGACAGTTTTTCCACAGACTAGGGGTCAGAGGAAGGTTTCTGGATGATTCAAGCATGTTACATTTATTGCGCACCTTATTTTTATGATTATTATAGCAGCTCCACCTCAGATCATCAGGCATTAGCTCCAGGACGTTGGGGACCCCTCCCAAAAAGGACAAAATTAATTTTTACTTCATCACTGAAGTTAGGAAATGTCTTTCAGAATGGCCAGAGGAGGGAAGGAGAGTGATAACGGTGACCTTAGATTAGGAGAATTCATTCTTCAGAGGTCCTTGAGTACATGCTCCATAGCCTTTGACTGACTCTGGCTCCCTAGAGAAGGCTAGGTATGTGGGAAGCTTGCAATGTGTCATTGGAATACCCATGAGCTGAATATGAAGCTTTCATTTTGTGAACTGATTTCCAGGCAGGAATGGTAGCAGAAGAAAGAGGAACCGTCTCTTCTGTTGTCAGTGCCAGGTTTTCAGTACAGCTGTGACAGCCTGTAACCTATTTTGGGTAGAGTGGTGGGGAGAATCTTACCTTCCTCCTTCAACCCAGAAACCTCTGTTGGTAACATCAACGCCTAACAATACTGGTAAACCTGGTGGGTTAGGACTTAGACTCTTCACAGAGCAGGAATAGAGGGAACAGCTAAAAATAAGGAGATTATAGTCTGTGTTTCCTGACATTCCTCTAGAATAGTGACGGCTTTTTAACGAGTTACATACCTGTCAGAATTTGATTAAAGCATTGGGGCCTTTCTTCAGAAAAATGTACCAGGCAAGGAAGGCTCTGGAGGAGTCTGTCAGGTCTTTGTGAAAATGCTCCAGAATACAGCTGGCAGGCCTTCTTTGCCCTGAATCTGAGTGTCAGGGTTAGGATTCCGTTTATCTCTGCTTATTTCCTTTTGCTCTATTTTGAAAACGGCCAAGAAATAGGATTTAAATCATGTAATCAGGCAAGAATAAGTAACTGCTTGTCTAAACTCATCCTTTAGAGTAACAGACCTAAACTTAAGGTTCAAGGATATTCTCGTATCTAGGGCTTAAGGTAACTAGCTCTATCTTAAGCACATCTAAAGCTATAAAATTTGAATTGTATTGATGGTTTTGTTGTTATATGTGATATTTAAAACTGAAGAAAATGCCAAATGTCAGCTTTCTTTTGATACCAAACCCATGATCTGTTTATTTTTATAAAAAGACTAGTTGTTTTTTTTTTTTAATATTTTCTGTCATCTCCCTGTAAGCTCCCTCTTACCCACCTGCCTCACTGTCTCCACTCACTATGCTTCCCCATCTAAGTAGTCTTTAGTAGTGATATGTTTTCTGCTTAGTACAGCAAAGTTTGAGGAACACATACAAATTGTTGTTACCTTGAAATGGAGTGTAACTATATAGGCAAAAGAGGAATCCAGGACTCAGAAAGGAAAGATATTTATAAATTGGTGCGTGCTTACTTGCCTTGCAGCAGTACATTCCAGAGTTTTCTCCATAAGGAAGCCGGGGGGAACTAATAATAGGTTATCTGTACAGTGTTCACGCTAAGGTTTTTTCTTTCCTTTAATTAATAGCATTTTCTGTAATTTTTTAAACTTTTATATTGGAGTATAAGCCAGTTGTTTTTAGACATTCATTTAAGCTATTCAGATTATAGTGTTAGAGCACTGTAATGTGAGTTGGACTTATGCTGAGGTTTACATGGACATTCCACCCTCTCCCTTCCAGGACACTTGGTGGTGTTCCCACACAGGCTCCTCCACCTCTTGAAGCAACCTCCTCATCACAGATCATCTGCCCAGATGGGGTCACCTCAGCAAACTTTTACCCTGAAACTTGGGTTTATATGCATCCTTCTCAGGACTTCATTCAAGTGCCTGTTTCTGCAGAGGACAAAAGTTACCGAATCATCTATAATCTTTTTCATAAGACTGTGCCGGAGTTTAAATATAGAATTTTGCAAATATTGAGAGTCCAAAATCAGTTTCTTTGGGAGAAATATAAAAGGTGAGTCAGCAATATGAAAAGTTCAAAAGAGGTTTTCTTGATGTAGTTAATGATAAATGCAGAACATAATAGTAAAGACTTGCATGGAACTTAATGTCATATATTTTCATATATTAACTCATAATTCTCATAACAGACCTTCCAAGTAGGATTATTATAGTCCGCATTTTACAGAAAGAAAACTGAGTCACAGAAAAGTTTGGTAACTTGCCACAGATCATACAGGTAATAAGATATGGTGCTGGAATTTGAACCCAGGCAGGCTAGCACCAGAGCCCTTGTTATTGATCACTTTATGGTGCTGTATTTCAAGTCAGCCACAAATTAATGTAATTCGGTGCGGGGGAGCTTGCATGTAGATGTGAGGAACCTCAGAATTGAGACTTTAAGGTTGGTGGAATTAGGTAAGGAAGTCACCCTGAGAAGGTAAGCTATGAGAGCTAGATTTGAAATGAAAGAGCAAGTGAACAAATGGTTGGTGGAGCAGAGAGGGAAAGGGCTTTTGTCTGCTGTGCAAAAGAGAAGTTTAAACTTGCAGTATGATCTTTGATGATATTTTTGCCCTTGATGGCTATGTTAACATTTCCTCACCATTGAAACCTTCCTTTTTTTGAATTCCCTGTCCACTTTTTGCCTTAGGAAAAAGGAATATATGAACCGGAAAATGTTTGGCCGTGACAGAATAATAAATGAGAGACATTTATTTCATGGAACATCCCAGGATGTGGTAGATGGGATCTGCAAGCACAACTTTGACCCGCGAGTCTGTGGAAAGCATGCTACAATGTTTGGACAGGGCAGTTACTTTGCAAAGAAGGCAAGCTACTCTCATAACTTTTCTAAGAAGTCCTCCAAAGGAGTCCATTTCATGTTTCTGGCTAAAGTGCTAACTGGCAGATACACGATGGGCAGTCACGGCATGAGAAGGCCCCCTCCCGTCAACCCTGGCAGCGTCACCAGTGACCTGTATGACTCTTGTGTCGATAATTTCTTTGAGCCTCAAATTTTTGTCATTTTTAATGATGACCAGAGTTACCCTTATTTTGTTATCCAATATGAAGAAGTCAGTAACACTGTTTCCATTTGAAAAATCTTGGTACTGCTAAATTATTTGTATAAACTCAATCCAGCATTTGTAGCAGGTTTTGGATGGGTGGGCAGAGTAGGGAACAGCATTGGAAATAGGGCAGTTTTAAGACCATTTTTTTAAGTGCTAGAAAGTGAAAAAAAAATTTTTTTAAGAAAAACACAAGTTTTAAAATGACCACTTATTCTTTAATTACTTACTAATTGTTGTTTGCGTGCTCAGTGTGGGAAAGACTAGGATTGCACACTCTTCTCACTCACACCTGTACATCATAGGCCACAATGTTATTAGAAGCGCTTTTATAAAGAAACAGACAGCCTAACTAAATGTGGCTTAAGCCTGGTAGAAGTTTGGCCAAATGGAGGCTGTGCGCGAATGTGAGGATCCAGTTCATTTACAAAGATTAAAACTGACCGGAACTAGTACCACCTTATTTACTCTGTCCAAAGCACTGCTGCTGTGGTGTAGGATGAGTTGATGGCATTCTGGTGGGTGGAAAGAAATTTCTGTTTCTATCAGTAGGACTGAAATATGTCACCCAACCACAGAGCATCAATGACTTTAACTGTTCTGCAGAGTTTGCCTGAGAACTCAGTTCTGTTTAGAGAAAGTAAGAGGAAAAAAGAACCATTTGAAAAATTTGTCACCAGCAAAATTTTTCATTAACTAGTTATATAAAATGTGGTTCTTATGTTAAACTTCAGCCTTAGAAAACTCAGTCTCTCATTATCATCCACCCCAATTTGAAGGAGTTGGGCATCTGATTTGATTAAAGCCTGTCTTGAGAATTAAAAGTATTACTTTCAGGGTTCCAGATGTAGACCCTGACTGAAGGTTTTAAAGAAAGAATACATCTGTAACTGAATTGGTTAGAGTTTATTACTGTACTTTGCACAAAGTAGATCTCAAAAAAGTATTTGTTGACATGGAAATATTGTTCAAGGTGGACCCCCACCCCCTGCCTGCTTCACCGGATGTAGCTGGGTTCCCTGGTCAACTTGTATCTTACACTACTTCACAGAAACACAGACTTGGAAATTGTGCCACTGGCCAGGCAGGAGCAGTGTTAGGAGACCGGGCCGCTACCTGAGCCGAGAGGTAGCCGCTCGGTGTACTTTGCCTTAAGCAAAGCAAACAGACCTGGATTTACAAAAGTGGAAGTGGTTGTTCACAAGAGAATTCACTATGGAATTCTTTCAGATTCCAAGCTCTCCTCGTATGTTTGCAGTTATTTCATTTATACACAGCTCTTCAGGAACTTCTGTGTTGTTCAAAGCAAGATCTGTCTATCCTGATGTCTCAGTGGCTTGGCCTGTTTAAGCACTTACCAGGGCTTCCACACAGTTATTTATTTTGCCCTCGTTGATCTTTTTGTTTGCTGCCATTGGCATGAAATAGCCAGCTGAGGCTGGTATAGTTGCCCTTTCATTCAGTTGTAACTTGTAAACCAGTAATTCCCAATCTTTTTCAAGTTAAGACATCTTACTGTTGCTTATTTGGTTTTATGAAACTTGTTCCTTTTTTTCTCCCTAAAGGAAAAAAAAAAAGCTTTATGACATATTTATTTTTTTAATAAAACTAAAGCAAAAATAAAAGTTCTGGTAATTCTTTAAAAACTTTGTTGTTTTGGTTCTCTTTTAAGACAGCTGCATTATGATCTGTAAATGCTGGTCAGTTGCGTGAATGAATGTGTGATTGAATGCCTGAGTGAACAGACCTAACCAGAAATGCTGCCTAAACACTTGTGCTCTGAGAATCAGCAAAAAAAGTGCATTATCTGGCAATTGACTTAAATCACAAGAGAATAGTAAATATTTTTCAGGTAAATGCTTGAGGGAAAGAGATAAGTTTTATATCAGCAAACAACAGTAGTAAAAAATATACATATTACCAGGTTGTCCCCTTCAGTAGGTGTTAAAGGAAATATAAAAAGGAAGTGTAAAAATTTCATCTGCTCTCAAGCACCTTGCTAGTGCTGTTTGGTCGCTCAGTTGTGTCCGACTCTTCTGCAGCTTCATTAACTGTACCCCAAAAGGCTCCTCTGTCCATGGAATTCTCCAGACAAGAATACTGGAGTGGGTTGTCATTTCCTTCTCCAGGGGATCTTCCCTACCCAGGGATCAAACCTGAGTGGGTCTCCTGCATTGGCAGGCTGAGTCTTTACCACTGAGCCCCCAGGGGAGCCCCTCAAGCACTTTAGCTGTTTTCAGCTAACCTAAAGTGACCTGACTGGTAAACATAAGCCTCTTGGATGTACTTTCTCTCCAGTGTGATTTTTAAATTCATGTATAGTATTGTATGTTTTAACTAAGCAAAGACCTGTGGAGTTAGACCAAATTTTGTAATGGTTCCATGGATTTAAAACACTGAAAGGGATTCAGCAAATCTGTCTCCTTCCTGGCACCACTGTAATTTATACCATTTTAGAAAGCTGGAACTGTGGTTAAGATTTTTAGGGGGAGTCTGCAAACCAAGATATTCCAGTGTCATACAATTCTGTGGATGAGAAAAGTTTACATGTGCAAGGTTAATAAATATTGGGCCCTTTGTATTTATAAATTCTAAAGCCCAACTCCACCTTTTTGCAATAAACCTCCTTTAGTAAATAGTTTAGATACAAAAATAGTCATTAGGGCCTGAAATATTGATCTTTGGGGAGAAATTTTTTTTATACTAGGTCTGAAAATGACTTAAAAATGATGCCCAAACAGTCCCATATGGTCATTTTAAATCAGAGGGGTTTCCATTAATTAAGGAAGGTATGTGTAGTCAGTTTTCTCATCTCATGAGTAGTAGGTTTTCTTCCCAAGACTACAAATGATAAGAATGTTCTTTGAGACTTTACAATCCAGTTTTTATAAAATGCTATACAAACCAAAAAATGTTTATTTACAAATTAAAAGCCAGAAGCAGTATGGAGGTTCCTCAGAAAACTAAAAATAGAATTAGCATATGATCCAGCAATCCCACTCCTGGGCACATATCCAGACAAAACCAATTCAGAAAGAAACATGGCACCCCTATGTTCATAGCAGCACTATTCACAATAGCCAAAACATAGAAACAAATGTCCAGTGACAGATGAATGGATAAAGGTGAAAATGGATAATGATGTGGGGTGTGTGTATACACACACAATGGAATAATACTCAGCCATAAAAGAGAATGAAATACTGTCATTTGCAGCAACATTGATGCACCAGCATTTATCATATTAAGTAAGTCAGAAAAATACCATATGATATCGTTTAATGTGGAATCTTAAAATATGGCACAAATGAAAAACTCATTTGTGCCATATGACTCACAGACACAGAAAATAGACATGCAATTGCCAAGGAGGAGGGGAGAAGGAAGAGAGATGGACCGAGAGTTTGGGGTTAGTAGATGCACGCTAGTATATACAGGATGTATATATATCAAAAAGGTCCTACTGTATAGTACAGGACACTTTCCAATCGCCTGGGATAAACTGTAATGGAAAAGAATATTTAAAAAAGAATGTATAAATATGTATAAGTCACTGTTGTACAGCAGAAATTACACAACATTGTAAATCAACTATACTTAAGTATTAAAAAGAAAAAGCCAGAAGCATTTTCCTTAGCAATGATAGTGTCAGGTTTTAAAAACAGACTCATTTAGTTTATTGACTTAGGTACTCTTATTGAGAAGGAAATGGCAACCCACTCCAGTATTCTTGCCTGGAGAATCCCATGGACGGAGGAGCCTGGTGGGCTACAGTCCACAGGATCGCAAAGAGGTGGACACGACTTAGCGACTTCACTATCACTACTCTTATTGCAGGCAAAATAAAGAAATAAAGACTACTTTTCCTTAGCTTGCTTACAAGCTATCATCATCATAGGCAGAAAAAAGATGCTATTGAAGAGTTTCATCAGCATTATTAGCTGGTTTTCTTTTATTGCTTTATTCACTGTTCAGCATATGTTTTGGGTGACTAATGCCTGACTAGAACTTTCAGATGGCAGCTCTTTTAAGGCTTTAATCTTATATAAATGTGGAAGGTTTGTGTGTTAGAACACTGCTAAATTCTCCAAACCAGAGCAGAGATAGCCACCCACTTTGATGATGTTAGAATTTTATGGGCTTAATTGTACTTAAAGTGAAAGTGAAGTTGCTCGATTGTGTCCGACTCTTTGTGACCCCATGGACTATAGCCTACCAGGCTTCTATATCCACGGGATTTTCCAGGCAAGGATACTGGAGTGGGTTGCCATTTCCTTCTCCAGGGGATCTTCCCGACCCAGGGATTGCAGGCATTGTAGGCAGATGCTTTACTCTCTGAGCCAGCAGGGAAGTCCTAATTGTGCTCAAGTACCTAATTAATAAGATGGAAATGACCAAAAGCTCCTATGAATTCAGTGATCTTTTAAAGCAAATTCATATTAACGTGACAACCATATCTACATTTTATGTGTAGGATATACTTAGTTTCTAAACAACATTTCGGGCCCGTGTGTATTAATGGACTCCTTACAATAATTCCTACATGCCGCTAAAGTTTACAGCCAACAGGCTGGAAACTGGGCTGGACTATTTCTATATAGGAGTTTTATAGCTATTTTTATCTCCTTAATTATATCCAACCCTAAAATTTAGCCTTCATCAAATCAGCTCAGAGGATCAACACAATGTTCACAAGCCTCTAACCTTTATAAAATAAGTTTTAGGTGCCAAATTGTCATTGGTTGGCCTTCTGTCTGCATACATCAGCTGCACTTTGATGTTTCATAGCGCATTAAGGACAGTATTTAACAGCTCTGAGTGGCAAGAGTACACTCAAGAGATGCTATCCAACTATATGAGACTGTGGGACTCTTCCAAGCTTATTAGCTTGGAATTAAATTCCTTATGCAACCACCAGTTTATAAATTTTTTTTGAGCAGCAGTGATGGATTTGGTACATTAACACATACCTTTCTGACAAAGGTCCTACCTGAAGGTTTGCCTTTCACAGTATCTTGGTTACGGGTTTA